TAGATTCAAACTGCTGATCTGTGATTATCAGCCCACCTCATAACCACTACGTTAACAGGACTCCTTAATATAGGCATGTTGCTGTTGTTAAGTGCTGTCGAGTCATTTCTGACTCATAACGACTCTGTATAGGGTTTCCAAGGAGAGGCAGGTGAGTTTGAACTGTCGACCTTGTGGTTTAATGAACCTTGCAGTCCAGTGCTTTATCCCACAGTGTCACACCAGGACTCCTAATATGAAGCATTTGTTGTTATTGTTTAGTTCTATCAAGTTGGTTCTGACTTATAGTGACCATGTGTAGGGTTGCTGAGGAGCGGCTGGTGAGCTTGAATTGCTGACCTTGAGGTTCAAACCGGCACCTATGATAGGCTAATGGTGGCCCTCCAAGAGACATGGCAACATCCTAATCCTCAGAACCTGTGACTGCTACCTTGTTTGGAGAAGGGTGTTTGCAGATGTAATTAAGTTAAGGATATTAATATGAGGAGACCATGCTGGATTATATGGGTGGGCCCTACATCCAGTGACAAACGTCTTAAAAAGAGTGAAGCAGAGCGAAATTATACACACAGGAGAGGAGGAGACCAGTGTGGCAAAATGAGGCAGAAATAGAAGTAATGGAACCATAATAAGGAATGCAGTCACCAGAAACTGGAAGAGGTAAAGAACATATTTTCCCCTGGAATCTCCAGAGGGAGTATGGCCGTGTTGAACTCTAGTCTCCAGAACTATGAAAGAATAAGTTTCTGTTGTTTCAAGCCATCCAGTTTAGTATGGCAGCATGCACTGTTGCTGTTGTTAAGTGTCATGGAGTTGGTTTCCAAAGAATGGCTGGTGAGTGTGAACTGCTGACCTTTCTGTTTAGCTGTCTAGTGCTTAGCCTATAATGCCTTAACAGAATTGTTGTTGCTAAGTGCCATTGAATCGGTTCTGACTCAGAGCGAGACTGTATAGGGTTTCTGATGAGGGGCTGGTGAGTCTGAACCACCAACCTTGCAGTTCAAACCGACCTGAGGTCAAGTGCTTATCCAACAGTGCCATACCAGGACTCCTACATCAGCACTAGGAAACTAATAAAGAATATGTGGGGTGAGGACAAAAGATATGATCTGTTTTTTTTTGTGTGTGTGTTTCTTTTTTTTAACTGTCCAAAATAGCATTTGACTTTTTGCTTATATAACTGAGGTTGCAGCTGGACTGTCTAACGTGAGTACACCCTATAGAACAGACAAATTTGGGTGTGTCTAAAGAGCGATTAGGTGGATCCATCAAGGCTCTTTATATCTCATGGGAAGAAAATGTCCCTAGACTAACAGGGTGAGCTTGCATAGCCTTACAGAAAGATTTGCTCTTGCTGTAAGTGCCATCGAGTAGGTTCCGATTCATAGCTATTGCTGTCCCCTAATCTCAAATGTGCAGGGAGTACTCACTAGATGGTAAGCAACATGCTAATCATCATAGAAGATAGGCAATGGTAAGTTTAACAGTGTGCACGTTACTCATACAGCGTTCTGAACTAGTTCCCCTGGCTTTCACTTTGCCTTAGACCTTGGGACCACAACATATGAAAGAATAGAAAAGTCACATCCCCTAAAGCTCCACAATAAATGAATAATATAAGGCTGACCAGTTTTGAGCTTCTATGTGGACATGAAGATAAGTGGCCACCAAGAGGTGGTGACTTCACTGTGGAGTATGTTGGAGTATGGAACAGAGTGGCAACATATATTACCTGTACAGACAGAGTGGACAGGAGTCCTGGTGTGGTGCTGCAGGATAATGCAATGGACCACAAGGTCAGTTTGAACTGCAAGCCACTCCTCAGAAACCCTGTACACGGTTGCTATGGGTTGGAACTGACTTGACAGCACTTAAGAACAACAACATCATAGTGGATAGTGTATCACTATAACAGGGACTGGAACAGGAATTAAACAACTACAGAGGCCAACTGGCAGCCAGGAAGACTACATTTAGAAGTTCACAACATCCATTCCTGGGTACTTACTGAACTATGGGGAAGGAGTTTGTGAAGTTACTGAAATTCTGTCCTAGGAGCTAAGTCCTATATACCTCACCATATGACACTAAGAAACAGGAATTATAGAAAAATGTCGAGAGAAAGCTAAATGTATAGTTTTCCTGAATTGTCAAAACTGGCTAGCAATAAATAAATTTGAATGTGAACAGCAATTTTTTTTCTCCCCCTGGGGTTGGTGTTGGGCTACAGAGAGTACGATTCAATTGTTTACAAAGAGGATTAAAATCATCATAGAAAATCATAATGGCATAATTTGGGAGGTACATAGACTTCTAGCCTCCAGAACTGTGAAAGAGAAGGAAAAACAAATCATATTTGAAACAGAAATGGTAAGAACTTTGCTGTTTTAAAAAAATGAATTTATGAATTCACTATGTTCCCATGGCTTTTTAGCCATTGGTAGTAGAAAATCAAAGCATCAACATACCATATACTCTTACTGGCTGGGTTTCTCTAAAGTGGAAAAGAATATCTGCTGACGTAAATGAAGCCTACATTCTTCTGGGGAAGGTTACCCATTTTGCAGTATCATTCTTCAGTTAAACTATAGCTTAAAAGACGAAAAGAAATATATCTGAGAATCAAGTCTTTCAGGGCTGAACTGAAGACTATCTTTTGGTTACAAAGGTTGCTTCTTTTTCTCAGAATTACAAAAGATCCTGTTAACCTGCTTTGCTAACTTATTTTCCAGAGTCCCAGAGGCTTCGGCAAGTAGAAACCTGATCGCATCCCTGCACAGGATGACTGTTTCCCCAGGGCCCTTTGTCAGTTTCCTCCTAGTGTGCTCATCCACATGGAAGAACTCCTGAATCAGATTTTGTATTTTGAAAGTTTGAAGTCAAAGATGGAAAGTGCCAAAGAAGATTAAAAGACCCCTCATAATGTAATACACAATTTAAATCACTTGCCATAGTAGATACCCTTAAAAGCAACTCATCTGAAACACACATACACATACTCATTCAGGATTTATATCTAAATATTAGGTCACATTGGTGGTGGTGGTGTGCCGTGGAGTCGGTTCCGACTCACAGCGACTCTGTACAGAGTTTCCGAGGCTGTAAATCTTTACGGGAGCAGAACGCCTCATCTTTCGGAACAGCTGGTAGTTTCAAACTGCTGACCTTGCAGTTTGCAACCCGATTCGCAACCACTACGCTACCAGAGCTCCTTTTACTATTTAAAAATAAAAAGAACACATTTTTACAATTTTTTGTCTTCTGAGACCTCCTTGAAGCAAAACAGTACAATTATTATATTCTTGACAACAGAATTAATAAATATTAATGCCAAGATAATGTTAAGTATCCCCATTTCTGTTTTGAAAGTGAAATGTATTGATCGCATGGCAAATTTTGAAAGTGCTAAACGGTGTGCGCACACACACACACACACACACACACACACACATACATAAGTGGTAAAATTTGTTTGCTCGCCACATGCTATGTTATATGCTTCAGTTTGTCTAGTTAAAAGGGAGCTACAAGTCATTTTGGTATCTCAGAAGGACACTTGCTAAACTAGAGTTTTGTAAGCATTTTCATTTTTACAGTTTGGTTTATCGAACCAGACACCTGGAATGTAGACTCTAGGTTGTTTACCTTCACGGATCCACATTTACAGTAAAGTTGCAATGCAAGATAAACTGCCCATGGACAACAGGTTCCTCAACTTGTCCCACTTCACTAATGTTAGATTGCTCAGCTACGTAAAACTTTGCCTTAATGAAAATCACCGAAAACACAAATTACATACTGAGTCCCAACTATAGTACACATGACGAGTATTTCTTTATCTCTAAAAGATAATACTCCTCAATGTTGAAAGTCAAAAATGAAAGAATTCGTAGTGTTTCAAACATTTTTACAAAGAAAAGCAACTCACCTATTTGAAGAGTATCTCTTTGCAAGTAAGTGACTCTGGTAGCAACAATTCCAGAAATCTACATTCTGCCCCCCAGCTCTTCATTTATTTTATCAAAGATAAAAAACAGCCTCAAGTGAAAGCTGGAAGTAAAAAAATCCTTCCATCCAACCAAGAAGGAACAGTGTTCTGCTCTCAAAATCCCGGAACCTCATCACAAGCCCCACCAACTGCTTCTCTGCTACTGTTTTTCAGCGACAGTGACCTCCGACACCTTTTATTTAGCGCTGCAACGCACCCTAAATGGTTTGACGGCACACGGAACACATCACGTGCCAAGCCAACACCTTAAGAGGGTGGGAAGCTTTTCAACCAGGAAGAGGTGCCGAAAATATTTAACCCGTCAGCTCAATTACACGTAAGCATTGCCTTGCTTGTTTTTCACAAAACAATCCAGCAACATAATGAGCCAAGATGAACTGATTTATACAGTTCTAAACTGGAAACCATCTGGAACTACTTCTCCACTGCCCATAAACTTCCCTCTCACCTTAGCTTTAAATTCTGAACAACCACATTGTAACAGCTACCCTCAATGTTTCTGGTGACAGCAATACATCTACCCTCACCCCCACCCCCGGTTTTACAGTTCAATTCTTTTCTACCCTCTTGGTTCATCTCATATTTACTCTTTAAAAAATCTTTATAATCCAGTTTTCCTTGTAACCACAGACACAAGCCTCTTCCAATTCTCCAAAGAGAAAGTAGTTTGATATAAATACATCACCACAGCCAGGGCATAGACCTGGCTCCTGGTGTGGTAAAGAAACTGTTAATAACTATTTGCCAACATTTAACCCATTGTTCACCACATGCACTACCTGAGACCTGCAATTGCTTAGAAGCTGGATTTCAGGTGAGACAAGTTTGACGATTTCAAAAGGGCTTTGTTACTTAGCAAGTTAAGTTCTGATTCTTTTGTTCCTACTGAACTGAAATTCAAAGAGCAAACATTAAACATTCTGAACATAAAACAGGCTAGCCTGTGATACCGAATAACTAATGAGCTGGTACATGATCTGATTGAGCTCACCCTCTCTGTCCCAGTGTTGGAAGATTTAAAGACTCCTTTCTGGATTTTCTGAATGAGAACAGGGAAGCAAACGATGATCTGAAGCTCTGTTGAGAAGGGCAGGATATTGGGTTTTTTGGATTAGGTAGATTTTTAGATCTTGATGTTTGCAAATCCACAGAATCTAAAAGAAAAATTGCAAACATGATACATCATTAAAACATTTCTAGGTAAATATACATTAAAGAACTAACTAAGCCTTTCTGTCTTTCTAGTCTAGCTGATGCCTAGCTGAGCAGGCATCTCAGGACTTAATAAGAGTCAGAGTTGCCTCTCAAGATTCCTTGTGCAATGGTAGCTCCTGTGAGCTACAGAAAATCCTTACCTTTCAGTATGCACGGAGGATCACAATTCTGCACCAGGTCCCTCCCCTCATACCAGCTACATGAGTCTTCCTCAACACGCCTTCTCTATGCCTAGCCAAAACTCACGTTGCTCTTAACCATCACCACCTTCAGAGATGTTTATTTCAATACTGTAAAACCATGATGATAGGTGGTACTATGTAACTGTTTATTCTAAAGAAAGTATTTGTTGTTGTTGTTATGTGCGTGGAGTCGGTTGAGACTCATAGCAACACTGTACAGGGTTTTTGAGGCTGTAAATCTTTATGGGAGTCTCACCTTCCTCCCGCGGAACAGCTGGTAGTGTCGAACTGCTGATTGTGAGATTAGCAGCTCGATTCATAACCACTATGCCCCTTAAGGAAAATATGGGAAAAACAAATTACACTATTTAGCGTGTCCCTTATTCCCTTCCAGAATCTATCTGTTGTTGTTGTTGTTGTTGTTATGTGCCGCGGAGTCGGTTCTGACTCATAGCGACCCTACACAGGGTTTCCGAGGCTGTAAATCTTTACGGGAGCAGACCGCCTCATCTTTCTCCCGCGGAACCACTGGTAGTTTCGAACTGCTGACCTTGCGGCTGTATGTATATCATCTATTTCATATACATGTGGTTTAAATATGTTTAATATAACCTTGGTGGCACAACAGCTAACTGCTCAGCAGATAAATGAAAGGGTGGCAGTTCGAACCCATCCAGGGGTTCCAAGTGAGAAAGACCTGATGATCTGCTGACATAAAGATTGAAGCCAAGAAAACTCTAAGGAACAGTTCTGCTCTGTCACATGTGGTCACTACGAGTTGAATTGACTCAATGGCACCCAACACAAACTATGCATATATAGTCCTGGTGTAGTGCTGTTGGTTAATGCGCCAGACCGAAATCCTTTAAACCAGAAGACCAGCGGTTCAAGCTCACCAGTCACTCCTCGGAAACCCTACACAGGGTTGCTATGGGTCAGAACCGACTTAACAACAACATATATATACATACATACATAATACAGTTTTATATTGTTAAGTGTGTATATATATATATATATATATATATATATACAGAGAGAGAGAGAGAGAGAGACAGAGAAAGACAGAGTGAGAGAGACAAGAGACAGAGAGAGAGACAGAAAGACAGACAGAGAGACAGAGACAGAGAGAGAGATTCCTGGTGTGGCTCTATAGGATAAGCATTTAATCCCAAATTTGGTTTGAACAGCCAGGTCAGCAGTTCAAATTCACCAGCCTCTTCTCAGAAACCCTATACAAGGTCACTATGGGCTGGAACCAACTTGATGGCACTTAACAACAACATATATATGATCAGAACTGACTCCACGGCGCTTAACAACAACAGCAACAACATATATATAAAAGCTTCAGAATGTTTGTGGAAAAACGATAATAGACTTTTTCCATGAGTTTTTTGAAGGCCTCGTCTTTATTTATACACACATACACACACACATACATACACACACAAGGAGTCCTGATGGATTTGTGGGTTAGGCATTGGCCTACTAGCTGCAAGGTTGGTGGTTCAAACTCATCAGCCACTCCAAGGGAGAAAGATGAGGCTGGCTGCTCCTATAAAGATTTACAGCCTCGGAAACCCTGTATAGTATCGTTATGAATTGGCATTGCCTTGATGACAGTGGGTTGGGTTTGGTTTATACACACACACACATACACACACTCATACATACATAATACAGTTTTATATTGTTGTTAAGTGCGCTCCAGTCAGTTCCGACTCATAGCCACCCTGTACAGGGTTGCAAAGTAGCAGCTGCTGCATGTGAACTATCAACATTGTGGTTCAAGCCAAACTTGGGGTCCAGTGCTTATCCTACAGTGCCACACTAGGGTTAAAAATCCTGTGTCAACATCAACATATACAAAGTTCATAATATTATACTACTTTTGGACATGCCAAGTGTATAAATATTAGAAGAATTCCAGAGGTAAGAGGAAACTCAACACGGCATTTACCAAGTTAATAAAAAAACAAAAACTATGAGTGTTCTTAGAAATATTTGTTTATTATGGTAATTGCAAAATACTGTCAATTTATACATTCAGAAATACTGTTACAAGTTTCATGATGTTACTATTGCTAGTAATATATATGAGTGAGTCAAAATTTATCTGCTCTCTGGTTATATTAAAACACCCAGGCATATCCACGGCTGATGACAACACTACACTGAGCATGCACGTAAAATGTTTCTGTCAAATAGATAAGTAGTAGACAGTTGATCATGCAGCAAATCATTTGCAAATCAGCCATGGCTCTGCCTATGAAAATTTCTATGACAGACTTGGGTTTTGAAAAGTTTATGTGAGATGGGTAACGAAACAACTCATTGAAGAACATAAACAGAAGCATTTAGACATTTGAAAACACAATTTGAACCAATACTTCAAGGAAAGTAAAAATTTCTTTTAAAAAAATCATTAGTGGTAACGAGACATGTATCCATCACTAAAACGCAGTGTATGGAATGGGAACATCTTCAACAGCCAACCAAGAAAAAGTTCAAGAGTCAACCATTAAATGTAAAATTGATGCTTACAGTTTTCTGGGATTCTCAAAGGCCAGTACTGGAACACTATCAGGAAAAAAGTTTAACAATCAACAGTGCTCATTACACTGAGATGCTCACTGAAGAGCTGAAGCCTAAAATTCAGATTAAACGTAAAGGACTGCTATCCAAGGGCACTGTGATCTTGTATGACAGTGCATATTTATGCACCTCTGCTCACACTGTTGACACTGCAAAA